TGCGTAACGAATAAATACGTTATTTTGCATTCAATTAAAAATCTTTATAGTGAAGAAATTGTTATTTCCAAAAGTAGAACAAGTGCTAACAATGGAGAAGTAATACCCAATAAGTTATAAGTCCATATCTTCACAGCTTTTCCGAAACCTAAACGATATTATACTGATAGTGCAATACAACATTTTATAAATGTTCCATGGACGTACGAATGATTCTCTAAATGTCAAAAATGTGTGCAAAGGTCTTCGCTATAGATTTCAGTTTGCTATCTTTTACAACGCCAAATAGGATGATTAACAAAACATGTTCAATATTGACTGAACTATCTTAAAGATGGATCTGGCTTAATGACATTAGTGGCTAAGGAATTGTACAGAAAGCAGAACCTTTGATAATTTTAATTTTTTTAGACTCGATTTCCCTTTGATTTCCCTCTGTTTCACATAATCAGCGCTTATTGCTCCCTTGAGAATAAGTAACAACAGTTTTTATGTCACTAATATTGAAAATCGTTCAACATGTATTGTAATGTTATTTTAGTATAAGTGAAATGTTCCATAGCTTTGTGGTTTTGGATTGTGATAATAACGCCTGATAAGAGTAAGGTCAGAAGTAATATATAGTCGATGACTCTCTCATTTTTCGTATATCTCACAGTTGTATATTTTCAAATATCTGACAGTTTAAGGGAAAATGTGAACGGTTTTAACTTTAAGGAGTGTCTATATTCCAATTTCATTTTGTCTGAAGAATGCGAAGTCAGACTTTTCATAATATTCTAACTTGGTAATGTAATAAAAAGGTACGTATACAAGTGGACATAAAAGAGGCTAACATGCCTGCATCCTTATCAAACTAAACGTCCCATAAACGTATCTAACAATCAGTAATTGATCGGAATCATAAGTACGGTCTAAAACCAAACCATTCTTAGTCAATGGCAAATTTAAAACAAGACATTAACATGCAAAATGTCACCCCTGATATTTGTTACAGACGCCGACCTCCGAATACTGTTACAGACACCGAACGCCGTCCACAAAAAGTTAGAGACTATAACAATTTGTCACCGCTTCTGGTGGTGACATAAGAATCCGGATTCTTTGAAATCAAAAATGGTTGCGGACGCAAGGTAACGCAATTAATCTCAAATGGTCTGACAACCAAAAGTATGCATCGGATCATATAAACATTTCAAATGGCAAATCCTCCGTTTGCAAAGCCCAAAACACAACAATTCAACCATACTAATTAAATAGTAACCAAGGTGAAAGGGCCATATAGAAAGGGGACTATGGTCCCTGATGGATCGTCCTCATAAAGGGTAGTTCTCGAGAATATTGCATCAGTACTTAGGAACTCTCTCAAATGCTAAACACCCAATGAGAAGTAACTATGCCAAGCATTTTGAAATCACAAGGTTTCAGTTGCGGAACTTCTCCCAACCACCTTGGAGGTCGAAGATACGTGCCAAGTGCAGTTGTGTGCAAATTAACATAGTGGAATCCACAATCTCTACTACACCTTGGAACTAGGTAAAGAGAGCCTCTGATAAATCAGAATGGTAAATTAAGGTGTACCTCATATTTGGTTATGGGAACATGAGCAACTGTGTACAGAATGTTGTGAAGCAACTCATAAAAAGGTAAACAGGGTGTGTGAAATTATGTTGTTTAGATAGATAGCCAGGTCCACAGTCTTCAAGCAAGACTAATGACCATATGAAGAATTGATCCATAAAGACATAACGTCTGACATACAGTCCTTTAAATAGTTTTTAGCTGACGACGGTTACGAATAAAAGTTAAATAAACACTAGTTTACTTAATGATTTATTTAAGTATTTGAAATGCCGAATTCAAGAAGTGCATTGTCGAATGTGTACATGAGGATATACTAACCTGTGTAAACCAATATCACTGTTGTACTTTTGAAATTACTTCGAGTTCAAGATGAATGTTAAAGAACACAATCTGTGTTCATAAGCCTAGAAAAATACACAATTCACAATCAATCTTATAAATTAGTTATTTTAAAATGTTATAAAAAATGAAAAGACCTAAACATGCCTATGTAGGGTCGTACATTTATAAATTAATTATATTGTCTTATGAATTACGTTTTTTGTCACATCTATGCTATAAAAATAATGATGAATGATAGCGGTTCCTTTGATCTTAGTAGCATGGACAGAAAACATTTATCATCTTAAGATTAAACTTTCAATATCCCTACACCAAGTGATTTATTGTTAATATTCACTATAAACCTTGTATGTGCAGCGCGAATACAATTGATTTGAATTTTGCTCACGTACATTCAGTAATGGGGCTTATATATAATATTACAGATTGTTGTTAATTACCATGCATGACGTCTCTTCCAATGGTCACACTGACAATTTTATCTCCCAACATATACACAAAACGTAGGTCTATTGAGTAATCGATATGAGATTCACAAACATTTAGCGTAGACATATTTTCGTGTTAGGTTTTTCATAAGAGGTCACGATGGTTTAGGCCTAATGTTTTTTTTGTATCATAAAAACCTGTAAGTATCTGTTTTCTCAAAAAGTTGTGTTATGGATAATCGGCTAATATTGGCTGATTTCATTTATTTAGCACTGCTTTCATTCGTATGTTATACTCCTTTGTTGTTATTCGTGTTGTCGTATTAGAAGTCGCATGTTATTGGAAATAACAAGACACGAAACTTCCAACAGGGGTGCCATAGCTTACATATAGCATTACATATCTCAGTATCTATAAATATATTGAAACAAATATCATAATCCCATTTCTCTAAATTTCATTAAACGATGTTCAAGGATGCTATCAATCACGTATACGAATGAGTATATATGTTATTCAGCCATTGGAATACCGAAGTAAAGAATGACTAAGAAACAATGTGCTTAGAAGACTATTGAACTGAAGGGTTTGAGTGAATAATCATTCAGTAATCAATATCCTTGCCGAAGCATTATTCAATCAAATGACAATTTCGAGGACAGTGGAGAATTCATTACAGCAGAGTCGCGATCGCCAAATGCAATTCTAATTGATTTCTAGATTTGCAAAATCTTGAAACAGATAAATCTTACATACACCTGCTGGATGGCGTGCCTCTAATAGACCAATACAAGAAAACAGATAATCAATGGATATTGACTAAAGCGACATCTTTCAATAACAAACCAAAACAGTCTTATTTATGTTATTGTCGATATTTTGCTTTGAAGTGAAACTGTTGCAAAAGTAGTACATGTATTAGCAGAATTTTCATGATTTTTGAGCTGCTGTGATTGTTTTCACAAGATAAAAGACGTGTTACATGTTATAATTTAAATCAGTTGATCATTACAATTTATTCTTCAATATCTTTCAACCCTCAAATGGTTTTTGGGTCCGTTCTGGGGACATTCTTTGCAATAATTGTATCAGAAATTAATTATTCAATCTACATACATACAATCTACGTACATGAAATTGCATCTTATCATTAATTCATTCATTTCATTTCAGATAAGACAAACCATATGTAAATCGCATGGTAACTTTTTGTACCGAACTTGATGTCACTCACAAAATTTATATTCAAATCATATAGTGTTATAGATAAATGCTGACAAGTGCTACAAAATGCTAAGACACCTGTACCCGTGTAATAAGGTTTATTCATATTTTCTTGCATCAAATATATATAGTACATATATATTATGAAAGGTAATTGAATAACCTATTTCAAACTGAAATCAGAGTGGCTTCTCTGGTTGCAGAGTTATTGCAAAATATTATGTGCTGGGGTCCATTAGAGGGCGTAAGAAACACAAAACAATTAAACATGTTTTTGCAATTGTCTTCAGTATACATAACATGGCCTGAGGTATTAGATTGCGATAATTCTTCCTGAAAGATGGAAGATGAAGGGGGTATTTAGGTATTATATATTGTTTCTCTCAGTTTGATCATAGTTTGGGATATATAGCCTTTGATTTCCCTAGGCCTATGCATAGATGTACTCTAGATGGTTCATTTTCTTGCTATGTTTTTGTAGACAAGTTTTTGCAACACTTTTTAATATATTCATTTGGCAATTTTATATACATATTGTAATTAGAGTCTTGTTTTGCTAAATGAGAATAATTAAAAATTGTTAACATTGTAATTCCAGTCTGGTCTTAACATAATTGACTGTGGATGACCAGTATATCAGTATATAGACAGATTGTTATATATTTTTCTCCGATTTGTTTCTGGATTGTGTATGTTGCACTTTTGGCAACAAGTGAAGTGCTTTAAATCTGACTTATAAATTGATATTTCAATTAAAAGAGGGCAAGCGACAAATATCAACCCATTAACGAATACTTAAACAACATGTGTGCGTTTGTACATTAAGTGTTAAAACACCAGTCAGAACTTATATATGATATGATTGATCACAAATCACCAGATAATATGCTGCTTGCTGGTTAAGTGGTGATGACCTTTCAGCAGGTGTCATGGTACTTTTTAAACACGCCTGCAATTCGAAAGTAATTGAAGATGTCTACATAATCTTATACACCATATAGAATTGGTTATTGGTGTCGAATCATGATTCACTGGGGATCAGATGGAAACGAAAACTCTAGGTCTTCCTTTAGATATTGCCCGACTTCATGGACTTCTGGAGGCAGAATTTGGTAGCTTTTTTGTTTTCTCAATTTAATAATTTGATTTCAACTAATTATTTAGCACGAATTTAGTGAGTGAATTCCCACTTTAGAAATAAGATTTCACTTCAGACATACATGGTTTAATTGTTGGATATCCACGAATCAATTTCCTGAATTAAGAAGACATAATATCTTCATTTCCAGTTGATCCCCAGTAATGATAGTCATGTCTAAAACGTACAAAGGCTCAATTACATGGCAACTAAATGTAGTCTATATGTATTCACAACAAAATTAATTTAAACATAATTGTTTATTCTAATAATAGTTCAGATATACTCGTTACTAAGTAACATGATGATCTAAAATAAACATTGTGACCAGAGAATGAGACTAAATCACTGTGTTCCTTCGTCTAATTTGTGTAAGTGTACAATTGGTGTACGTAACGTATAATCAGATAATGTTATCAAGAGATAATAAATTGGAAGTCGGTGTCAATATTATGCATCTATCTTGAGAATTCAAGGTATTCTTCTCCATAAGTGATACACTGACATACATACATGTAACAGTATGCACATTATCCCCAACAAGTTATCTGTCAACATCTTTATAAATAGGCCTATATCCATGTCCACTGATGATAAATGGTTTTGTGTACAGGTGGTTTTCACATGTATAAATGATTATTTTTATCTGTTTATGTGTTGTTTGTATGTTTTAATACAACCATACACACATCATATACAGCGTGTATATATTAATAATATGTTCTTCTAACACATCATACAGTAAGTAGGCATGCATTATTGGGCAGATACACATATGCCTTCCCTATGCACCACAAAATCACTTGAGGGTCTCATTCTTCAATATATTGGCAATCAAATAACCACAGACATTCTAAACCATTGTTTGCTGCCTCTCATTTACAAACAAACATATTTATTAGCTGATTCTTGATTTGATCAATTGAATCCGTATTTGTTAGCACTGATGGCTGGCTGAAGGAATGTTAGATTCCTGGTGTCCATTTTGTCTGACATTGTTTGTTGTGTAATAAGCACCAAATGACGTCACGCCACAATGTTGAGATGGCCCATATGTAAGTCCACGACCACTATGATGAGATTCCTCTCTATGATGTTGGACAGCCATGTTTGTAGCATGAGAGGGCGGGGTTACATGATTCAATGGCCTTGGCAAATTTAGTTTAGTTATTGAGTTTAAGGTCTTGGTACTAGAACTTAGACCAGATAATCCTCCATGTGACTTTGTAGCCATTGCTACGGTTTTCAGTTTTGATGCCATCGATGCTAATCCTTGACCATTTCTCATAGAGGCTATTGTTTTTGTTGTTGGCGCAGTTTTCCTCTCTGCAGCTTTGGTACTCATTACTGAGGAGACACCAAAGGTTGTAGGTGCAAGGCTTGGAGGCCTTGGAGGGGAAGAAACTACTTCAGTGAGCTTGGAGGCAGCACAGGCTACTGCAGCCTGCCTGGCATCTTCTGCACTAACAACTACATCTGGTTCTTTAGAGCATGGTACTTTTGTGATGACACTTTTATGGTTATTCACTTGGGAAGATGTCTCTAAGCCATTGGTGGCGTGGCTGATAGGGGTGCCTTCTGTTGTTGGAGAAGATATATCTTTACTAGTAGCTGTTGTTTCTGGTGTGTCTGTAGTTTTCGGCAAAGTGGCAGAATCTCCATTTGATGTTGAAGAGCGTGTTGGTGTAGCGACGCTAGTAGATGTCTCTTGACTCAATTTACGACGTTTGATGCCTCCCTCTGGAATCTCATATATACAGTAGAACAACCTCAATGGACCTCGCTGAAAAAGAATAAATAAAAATATATTAGACAACTATTACAATCTCTGACGGCTCTTTTTAAATGTCACCCCATAAGCAATCAAATAATACACCATTTGTAAATTATTTAACTTATAAATTCATATATTTATGTTTATGGTTTGATGATATGTGGTTATCCTTAAACTATTGAATATTGATTTTATGGTTCAACAATATGTAATACCCTACTACTGCATAGACTACGTACCCTCCTCCAAGAGTAGATATATGCTATGTCCATTAAAGTGTAATCATCACTTAGGGGTTCATCAGTTTTAAACAACACAATCTAAAGAAACAAGGAACATATATATAAATTCTAATAATATAGCTTGGCAGATAAAGTTTAATGAGTTAAGGATACAATATTTTGAAAAGACATGGACACAAAGGTTTTATCAGTAAATTTGGATTTGTGAGTAAATAATATATTCTCCAAATGTTTGGACTACACTCTCTGACAGCCAGTTTCATAATTATCCTTTGTGATCGGCTGTGAACAGTCCAATTAATTGGAGTAGGATAACCATGTAACCTTGACGAGATTAAAATTTTTAAGACGATAACAGATGTGCCAAGGTGACAGGTCTATGAGAAAGTACTACTGTTTTGTTATGTTAAATATCTCTCTAAGAGGGATGCTATATGGCTTACATTGTGAGATGGTAACAGGCTAAATTTCATCCTGATAAACTTCTTGATATGGTAGATGGACATGGCAGCAGGGCATAACAAATACCTCTTCTCTGGCACCTTGGAAAGCAATGAACAACAATATTTAGAAACATATTGGGTCAATATGACCTGCCTTAATATGTGTACAAAGTGTGTATGTTGGCTTTAGGCTATATCTGCTAATGGTCTCATATGAGGAGTTTTAACTCTTATATGCACATACCTCTGCGTTAGAATATACAGTGTACATGTGTTTATTTAAATATTTATTTATTTTGGTGATACTGATGCTATTTCATACCATTTTGTTAGTATCCCCACCACCCTTAGTGCATTTTTCAGTAGGTGTGTCTTCACTTTCATCTGGAGGCCTTCCACTGAAAAACAAATGCATGTCATAGTTAATATGTTTATACTATACATGTAAATATAATTTACTTCAGTTTGTAATCATATGTCAATCATATAATTACTCAGTAATCATATAGTTACTCAGTGTACCCATGTTTGTATGAATTTTTCTGGGTGTATATATGTGTGTATTTAAAATGATGCTTCAAATTCATGTTTTTGTTATGTTTTATCCTTTTTCATAATGCAGTAAGAATAAATTCCCATGATGTATCTGAATCTCTCTCTCTAATCTTGAATACTATGTCTCAGATATATATTACACATTGTCATCAGTATTAATATTATTAGTGAGCAATAAAGAAAAGGGGAATTGTCAGCTTCAAAGAAATTTACACTGCAGTCATCATTGCTATGATTATAGTGAATGAAATTAATGGCCCATATAGACATAAAAGGAATTGCCTATGGCCACTTTGATACCTTTAAATGTTTCTTCATATTCAATTATATGGCATATTATTTTAAAATTAATTCTTATTCTGAATTATTGCTACAATGTGTATTAGTTTAACAGCATATGCACATGCAGACTAGTCTCATTTAGATTAATTGAGACTTCAGTACTCCACCCACTATGAGCAATACTCTGCATTTCAGCAAATATACAAATATTGATTAGGATAATATGGTTCTACTACTATGGTTCCATTTTCTGATGACTTTTGTGAAGAAACTGTCTAATTAAGAAAGAATGTCTTTTCCAATCAATATTCACATTGACTCTGAGCATCTTTGGGAGTGGAAATCTGATGACATGCAATGTTACACCATCTTGAAGAATGAGAAAGAGATTCCTTCAGATTATAGCAAGATTAGAGAATCTCGCCTTTTTAACACCATTCAGTCAATATGCTGAATGGACATATTAAAAGGAAGATTATGGATTTTTCTGATCAGATTAATGGATATACTGTCTATCAACCACAGACATAAAGGATAATATCCTATTATAAAGATTATCAACAGTATTAAAGAAACATTGAACAAACGTTATTTTGATCTGATTTGATAAAATTGATATCTTACTGTTTTTAATATCAAAAGCACTGGCAATCAGGACTGACCCACAACAAAATGTGAAGCTCATCTCTTAACACATGAAAGAACATTACTATGCAAACAACTTACGTTGTGCTGTATTCAAGTGATAAGCTGATGTTCTCATCTTCCGTGTATATATTCCTCTGACTCTCTGCAACATCACCCTTTTCTTCTGGTGTATGACTTGACCCTGGAAAATGGATTTCATAGTTTATCAGAGACCTAGAGGGAAAGAGAGTTGAGTTGATCCATTGCAGTTTTACAAAAGACTGTTTGGAAGGGACATAATTGATTTCTGTCCCATTTGGGAATGCAGCACCACCATGAACACTTTTTCTAGATACACTATAACATGTTCTACAAGTACTGATAGATCAAGTTGTGTGATTAATAAAAATGAATAAAATATTTTCTCAGGGGACTTTTCTAACTATTGCACTAGTTCCATTGGATTTGGAATACACTTGCTCTGAGTTTTTACCCATTTGTTTTGAGCAACATACAAGCGAGGGAAGAGTGTGAACCTCACATACCTGGTACAGGGGGATTGTCCTTAAAGAACACTCTTCTCTGTTTCATTTCATCTAAAAGAAAAAATGAATGTTAAAAAGAATTCAACAAATTGTTGATAGTATTATTAAAATCATTAAACTATTTTTATAAGATGTTTTGACACACTTAACAGAAAATAAGTATGGGTACTTACTTTTAAACAGACCTGGTACAAGCTTATAAACAAGATCTTGAAGTGTATGGTCTGCCCTGAAATATAACAATAACAATATTCAATTATATGCAAGATGGGGCATGTTGACATTCACTTGATGTCAAATGTAGATGGTGATAAATTAGATGATATTGTTGGTCCTTCAGAATAAGTAGATTTGAGGTTAACCAAAGCAATTGAAGTCATTGGCTGACCTTGGCTAACAATAATTTGATAATATAAGTGTTATATGAGGGTAAATAAACCTATAAGGAGGACAAATTTTATGTTTCTAATTGCTTCTTAAAGATATAGAATCTTTGTATTGAAAGAAATAATACTCATTAACCTTGAGTGTGGAAGTACAGAGAGATAGCATATGTACCTGATATGTAGATGTGGTTTTGTTTTATGCACCATCACATCGCATATTGGACAGTACTTGCTGGTCTCTAAATATCTAACAATGCATGTGCGGCAAACTAAAATAAAAAAGTAATATGGATAACCATGTTAATCACTTAATTTGGAATCACAGATTCATATACATATTTAAATACAGAATTTAAATATGAGAGAGTAAAACCCAACCCACAAAGCCTGTACAGTTTTAACTGTACACCAATTACAATTGCAAAACCAATTATAGGAAGTCAGATAGGCCTGTATTGATCAATACATTGTATGAGTTGAAACAGTCAATGTTATGTGTTGTTTTAACAAAGCATAATGACATAATCATATTGGATTTAAATATCATATGCAAATCAATATTCAAAATGCGAACCATTACAATGCACTAACAAATCATGTGTAAGCCTTATAAACACAATATCATTATCAATAGATGCAAAAGGTTAAAATGACATTCTGTTCATATTAAGATTGCCATCTAATCATTTTAAACATTTCAAAATAAAGACAACATCATTCACCATTTGAACAGTTTACATTCAACTAATAGACACAGAAGTCTACATCAAAGTGTAAATTTATGTTGAGGCACTTACATGAATGAAGGCATTCTATGATGGTTGTGGCATCAATGTAGTAGCCCCCACATAATACACACATCAAATGTGGGTTCAGCTCTGTTATCTTGATTTTTGTTGTTCGGTGCATAACTGCAAAATTGGAATAAACAACATTAATTATTGAAGTAACAATATAATCAGACTGTAACTTTGAAAAAGAAATCAATACACAAATAACAATAATACAATGGTGTGTTGATGATCATTATCATTTACACATTAACACCCAGTCATATTATATAAGACATATTGTACATTCTTAACTCTAGGTCTCAATTATTCTCTCAACTGTGGCAATTTTACATGTACCAGTTCAACATTCACTTACTAATACTGCTGTATCATCTGACGGTCTGACCCCATCCAAACACTGTAACATCAACATATGCACTATTACCACATCATCATCACACGTTTAGTATTCTAGACAGCAACTTACATTACTCAAATCAATTTTTCTTTTGGTCTTAGCCTACATTCCAAACCGAATCTCCAATTGAATAGTCTGTGTATATTTCAACTTTGTTGGGCAAATTATTAAAATTGATTACTATTTAAATAAATTGCACTAAATGCTGTCATGTTTAAATTAATACATGGCCATGGTGTTCATGTTAAGAAATAGTAAAAAGTTTACGAATACCTTATAGTACCGTAGTAGACTATAATTCAACCCAATGATCTTTGACATTACACCTCTGGTACAATTAAGAAACATTTTCTGTCAGTGCTGATGAATTCCAGAGTAAACTGTTTTCGGGGTGTAAAGGGAACCCAGCTTCACATTATAGCATTCCATAAACCACTTTGGAGGTAACGTTTTCTGATAATATGCTACTAGTATGTACAGTTTGTACACAGACTCCGCATAAGACTTCATCCAAGGCATGTTAATGTTTTTGCTAAAGGTTACTCTTATCCATCCACTCACACACACAGTCTCCAAAACAGTCTGATTTATAAGCCTTGGTGTGGCGGAGTTACCATTTTCTCTATTTATATCCATAGCATGCACTTATCCCAACCCCTAGCACAATCGGTCAATCAAACCCTCTAAACATTAACTAGTACTTAGTCTGTTAGTCTGAGGTTGTACTTCGCTTATAATAACATTCTGTTACTTTGTACCTACAGGAGTAAATTGGATTAGTAATGATTCTCCCCCCCCCACGTGTATCCTCTCCCCTGTCCCCCTGAGCCAAACTCATTGATTTTGATTCACAGTGTGGCAGTGACGCATAGGGCATAACGCATCCCTTGCCTAAACATTACAAAGCACATGCTTAATAAATCCTACCAAGTAGACAGAGTCTGTAAGACACTGGCAAGAAACAGCCCTGCTTATCACTTATCGACGTTCTTGTTTACTAAGCTCCCTAGGGCTGTGTAATGAGCAACGCTATCGCCTACAATAATTTAACCCATAAATCATCCGCTTGCGGATTTCACTAGCTAGCATCAGTAACCAATTAATGATATCAATTTCAAACGGATGGACTTTCCTATTAAAAATAAAAAAAAATATTCTAAGATTATTAAAAATAAAGAAAATAATGCATACTGTAAAACATATGTTATACTGCTTGGTAATATATTCAACAATCAATTGCATTTTTAATTATGAAAATTTCAGGGTTGCATATATTAAAATATATTTGCATAAAATACTGAGCACGAACAAAGAGATTCAAAGGCGCCAATTACCACCTGCGATTTCGTGTTCCATCGTTAATTAACATGTAACGTTTTTACTAAAATGTATATGTGACGATGACATCGTTGTTTACATCGATAAGTTGATTTGAACGTGTTATTCTAAGTAAGTTTTATTTACTTAAGAAACACGTGTCAACAATAAAAAATGTGTGTTATGTTATGTGTAATATGACTCATGAATCGTTGAATTCCGAATGATCTGATTATCTAAAAAGTAATTAATGAAGCATTAACGGTACCAGATTACGCAAACTAATCTAATTGCACTTTGTGTATAGTGTTAGCTGTTATTTTATTTATAAGCCCGTCAAAGCAGTAAACTAAATGTGAATACTAAACAATGACTATTTAAATCACTTGTTAATGTATTCAAAGTCATATAAAACATTTAGCAATAGATATTGTCAAATTTGAAGAATCTCGTGCCCCATTAGCTTTGAGAGAACCAAATTCCCCTTTGTCGGTACTCTCTGAAACGCAAACGATGTTTCAATATGATTGGGTTCATTTAGCTGCACTCCAAAGAAGCTGCTTGAGAAATTGATACCCACAGATGTGCTACAGTAATTAACGTCGTAAAGCGTACAACTACAACACGGAAAATATTCAACCTTCAGACTTGTTAAGTTAATATCACAAAAAGTATAAAAACTACAACCATAAGAATTAAAATGTGTTGAAGGTGAATATGTCCTTTATTTGATCATTACAAATTATTTGGTCTAACTATCTGGTAACATATAGTTATCGGAGTTTATTTAAAGTGACCCCCTATTCCAATTAATCCAGTGGGAAAATAGTTCTGACGTCGATAACACAACCTTAAAATGCTTGATAAAGATAAAATGTACAGGACTCAAATGTCTATGCACGTTTTAAAAATACAAGATAGTATTTTATTTCATGTGTAAACAATTTGTTGCACGTATCCTTATAACTATTTGGAACGTGTTTCCCCATCCCTAAAACCTATCAGTGAGTTCACTATTCATTCTCAATCATTCCCATGCGTTACATAGGCCCATTTGAATCAATGATTCTGAACAATCTAAACTAGATATAACCCAGACATACACAGTTCCCAAATAAATAAACCCCTTAGATTATTCAGTAGAAACAGCTGTTATCAAAATCAACTCTAGATTGCATATGCATCGATTTCCTAGACCCATATCATAACCCACTAAAAACGCCATCTTGAAAATTCTAGACGGAGCAGTCGCAATCTTCTGCACCCTCGTTCACACTCTTACATCCGAGATGCAACTCTCATTCAACAATCTAATGAATGCTTGATATACACAGATGACGATAGAAGACATATTACCTATCCATACGCCCTTGTTTCAGCAAAATCAGCAAACAATCTGTCGGTTTTGAGTCCCAGTCGGCTGATGTCTGTGTTGTATTTGCTCTTCACCAATATTGATCACGTGGTACAAAAAGCCCGGATGAATGATCGATAAACATGTGTCGTCTGCGACCAAAGGCCCCAAAGCGACTGGTAATAGGATGTTTTTGACATAAAAAACGCACAACCTTACTCACACAATACAATAAAATACATCTAAACAATTAGGGCCGCTCTAGTACTTTATCTCAAAAACACTCAATCAACTTATCGCTTAAATGTGTTAGTCGGTTAGTGCATGTGTACGGTAAAATCCCACGGCGGCTCAAGTCATATTTACTTTCTTTCAGTTGACTTTTTCAACAGTTACCGTCATCAACACAAAGTCGACGATTGATGCTAGTCAGTCGTAATTTACTTGAGGGGACGTTCGCCGACCAGTGATCGTGTTTAGGGTGCCCTTGGGTGTGCGCTAGCCCCGGGGTGATTTTTACCCGGATTGATCGGTCATTATACTTTAGAATTAGGCTTAAATGTATGAAGAGTTGACTAACAAAATAGCAGAGCAACTGAATGCAGCACATGGTGTTTGGGTTGTTGTGGGGACGGATGAGTTTCTTCTAGGGTTTATAATTACGAATGCTTCGTGATTGTACCTCCGGATCGTATTGCATTGTCATTAATGAAAATAGCGATGATGACGTCACCCATTTAACGATTATAAACGGAAGCACATTGCAAAACAATTTATACTCTTGGTTTCATTTTTTCCAATTGTGTGAAATTCACGATATTCGCGGGAATATATAAAGGCGAGTGACTTGAATTCTTGAATCTTTTTTTATATCCTATGAATCTCCAAGTAGCCAGTCGCCTACAGATTTTGGGACTTGGGTGGCGCTTGATAACCAAAGACTAAATACCTCCGGTTCGCTTTATTACCCTGTACTCACTTGTTGTGTGTTTAACATTGAGTTCAAACCTTAAAATATCCCCAACAATAGAAATATGATTGGATACAACCCAAGAAGCTAATTTACTGAACAAGAATTGGCACTGCGTCGCTGAGAAAACAAATGTAATATCAGATCATCTAATCCAACAAAAATCAATAGTAGGCGAGCGTGTATAAACCCGAACGCTCTACACTAGCCAAATCTATTTGTAACAAAATTGTATTTTTACTTACCTGCTAGCACAGCTCAGATGTCTGGAAATCGGATACGCCAAGCAAGCGTCTAAGAATTCCCCAACAGCGCTTGACACATCTCAGGTTATATGCCGTCTGTACCTGTAATGAAATACGTCTAGGATAAAAGAGCCCGTGATGTTAGACTGAACCCATTTATTTAATTCTTTTTTATTCGAATCTTACCCGCACATACATGCCTACGCCAACTGGTAATTTCATTGGTTTAGTTCAAGCAATGTTTAAATGTTTTTCCAACAGTTGCCCTTTGTGCTGTTATTTTTTATAAACACATAAATCTGTCAAATACAAGTACTCCAATACATTAGAGACATTATTTTACCTTGTTCATATTTCTCTTTAATCAAAAATGCCCTATAGGGGGTTTCCTTTTTTAATTGTTTCTCAGCAAGATACACCTGAAATATATCAAGATTACATATATAGAGTGACAAAATATAATTAATAGTAAGCGTCTATGTAACAGATACATTCACGGTGTCAGTATTCAGTATAGAGGGTAATGATTTGATCGAAACTGCATAATACCTCAGGGTTTGCCCGTTAAAAGAGTAATTCCGAGTCATTTAGAATTGATTGAGATTTCAGATATGTCAGACGTTCGTTTATCAACTATTTTATCACGCTTTTAAATCCAGTCTTGATCCCTCTAGAAAGTGTATAAATACCATGATAAATCAAGATCGACTTCCCTTTACAACGATTTCTTAACCATGGCGCGTCAAGCCTCTGGGTACTTTCCTCGGACATTAATACACACCACTGGCGACCCCCCCCCCTCCCCTAGCCTTTTTATAGGCCAAATTATCAAAAATGGGCCCTAAAATTTGGGTTTTGGTTTTAAGGGCCCAAATTGCTTTTCCTGACAGGAAATGTGCCCTCCCCTCCTTGTTAGCTTCTGGATCCGCCAGTGCACTCACCTTTTTATACCTCCCATGGGCTTACCATTTTTAATCTTGCCCGTGCTTTTGGGCAACATTGAGTTTATTCCGAGTTGATGATGTGACAATCTTTGGGATGCCCAATTCGAATTAGTTATGACTGATTCGTGGTGACAATAACCCTGAAATTACGGATTGAGAATACTATTGTTTATTTTGATTAAATGGCCAGCAAAAATCGTACAGAACTTCACGTGGATTATTTGTCTCGTTTATCATTCCTAGATTGTCGGCATCTCCCGTTCAATGGTCTGGGTTCAAGTGGCCGTATCTGAATCCACGATTCACCACTACGGAGTGCCCTCAGCCTTGTGCACTAGGGGTTATCAAAATACGTTTTATTAGAAGTATAGGGAAATAAGAAATTTATATCATATTTAATTTTCCTCGACATGGTAATTGGAATTTGTTTATGAATGCATTCTAAACCAAACCCTTTCACTGTGGGTCATTGCATTTTTGTCCATGTACATTTTGCAAATCGATCGTTTTTCGATTTGGACAAACACAATATTGCTGTTTATTAATGGTAAATCATTTTATCTTTCTAGCTTGCTCACAAGTTGTAGATTTTTCAGGATAAAAGTTACTTTGCAACGAAAGACATCTGAAACAGATTACAGATGTCATTTTGGTATTTTAGTATATTTAATAGGTATGTCATGCCCAAAACTTTAATTTTAGGTATTTTGCAAACCGATACTTATTACATCTTTCTGCCTTCAATAGAATATGCTTCTTGAGTGAAGTTAATAAAAGGCCATGACTTCTCCTGATTTATATTTTGGTATATTTTGATTTTTGTTATCCCGAACATGTACACTTTGGTAAATTTTGGTTTTCGGTATGTCTAATATGTGTTTATCATGTTTATTGGTATTTTTGGTTAATGTTTCTTCGTGTTCTGGGCTCTGATAAATAACATCTCAACATTAAAGGTATTACTCCATAGGAAAACATTTAAGTTACACATAATCACATGATGGCTCACGGTGGGTTATTTCTAGTAAAGGTAGCAGAGCGTGCAATATATGTTATCAATTAAGGTCTTAAAATCGCACTCAGAAACATCCAGGAATGCGCAATGCATGTATAAAAGGACCTCACTTATTAAAAAAGAAGCAAGTTTCGGAAGAAATGCTGACTAGGGTCCGTGATGCAAACCCCAAAAATCGCACCACCCCCTTGACAATTACTGGCTACGCCCATGCAATGTATATAATTATAGATCAAGAAGACATGCTTAAAGTATATTTTAGTTAATTTCGACTAGGTACAACATTTGAGTATATAAAACGCAATTAGGCTAATTTTAAAAATGAGTAACGGTCGACAACATACTTCCATATTGAAAAATCCTTATGGTATTTCACTTCAATGTAATTACGTAGAACAATAGCACGCCCTGTGATCGGAAAATGAACGGAGGGGAGTAGCCGCTTTCTGCTAGAAAATTCAACAAATCTGGAAGATTTAATTTTTCAACGGAGGAAGTAATTTACTATTGAATTGCTGAATGAATAGACGCACGGGATGGTGAAATATGCTAGGTCTTCTAGGATTTTTTGAACACTAGCAAGATATGAGATCTAATAAAAAAGGCGCAACGGCACACACGTGCAAAAGTCAATGTTTTTGCTATAAATCAATAAGCAACAATGGTTTACAAGTCTACAAAGTGCCGTTATTATCACAAATTTAATGTAATTGATGGCTTTTTTAAATAAGTTTATATTCGTTGTTTAAAAATAATACATCTCAGAAGAGTGAAAAAATAAGGACATTTGCAGTTATAAGAAATAATGTCAAGTAATATCAATACGTTCAATTTTAATCGATTATTTTGATATAACGGTATGGGAACTTATTTTTGAAAGCAAACAAGTCAATGATATTAATTTCGGGATGATAATAACTTCACTTACAAGTATTTATTACAGGTCGTGTAGACCCCGTTGCTTAATTTATAGCAAAACATTAACTTGTGCACGTTGATGGCGTTGCGCCTTTTTAATAGATTTCACACCTTAGAATATGTATCAGTTGTACATTAAGCGAAATACCTTATCTTTTTTCAAAGAAATTTTTCATGAAATTCCGACCAACCAACTGCAAATAGTACCAAATAACTTATGGAGCATGAATCATGAACGTTTTTTTAGACGTGGCAGAAAAACGAACGTTCAATAATACTCATTTTGTTCGCCTTTTTCTCCCATCAATTCCTTGGAAGCCTTGTCGGTCCTATTTGATCGAGAAAAAACCATGGGCTTTCAAGAGATATTGAAAGCCCAAGGAACAACTAAAGCAAATAATAAATTCATTTCTTATGTAGCGAGATTCAATGGAACTTAACACAATAAAACCGATTAATTATCAGAGAGGCTTAAATTAAATTGTCCAACCAAAAAGGAATTATAATTTATATGTACAACCCTGGCTCACGTGTATACGTGATTATGAATATTTCTCAACTACATTGTAGTAAATCGATTTTGCATTGTGTATTTAAAATAATGTTTATTCAGACAAGAAACATTTTAGCAGGAAAACTGAGAAACGGAAAACTGAATTGCAAAGGAGTGGTATCGATAAGGTGAACTTTTTGAACGCACATTTCTCTTAAACCAGTCATCAAAGAATTCTAAAAAATTTACACATCGTCAATTTAATAGTCATCTTTTGAATGGTAACAATATAATTTATTATATAATATATACTTCCCTTATATTGTTTTAGAAAACACATCAGACACTTCTTTTGTTCTTGGTATCATATGTTCGGAATGAAATTCCAAACCTCATTGGAACAAAACTACATAAACCCAACGTGTTTAGGTCTCTCAATAATGTAATTATACAAAGGAAATTTTGGTTGATTTTAAAAAAGTATCTTGTTAATGAAATAAAAGGTTTATCTTAATTTTTTATCTATTTTTGGGGTTTTGTTTTAATTTTTTGAATACCTTTTCTAAAGTCAACCA